CTTGTTCTTGGGGTGGGCATAGGGCTTAATCTTGAGCCAGGGTCAAGGGTCAGGTGGAGGCCACACTCAGAACTCAGTTTAGGGCTGAGATCAAGGCTTAGTGTAGGACCAGGGTCAAGGCTCAGTCTAGGGGTGATTAGAAGCAAAGTCGTAACTGGGGTAGACAGAGTGACTGGGGCTGTGGCTCAGATCCCTCAAATTTAGACAGCACGGGCAGCACATGGGCTCTCTCAGAGAAAGAACTGGGCTTAACATGGAATTACTTCAAATAATTAAATAATAATAAGGGCTAGCTTTGATGTAACTTTAAGGTTTGCAAAGAATTGTTTGGTCCTGTGAGGTAGGGGCTGTTATTATCCCCATTTTACAGATGAGGAAACTGAGGCTTAGTGATGTCACATGACTTGCCCCTGGTCACACAGTAAGTAACTGAGATAGAATATGAATTCAGGTCTACCTGCCTTCAAGTCCACTATCCTCCCACCAGTCTGAAAGCTGAAGAAGCCAGTTCCACCCTCCCTCCTGTCTCCCTGAGGATTCATCCTCCTTGGAGATAGCCTTCATTGGGACTCAGGAATCTTCAAGGCCAGCATGTCCTGGTTTCTGTCAGTCAGTCAGTATTTATGAAGCACCTACTATGTGTCAGGCACTGTGTTAAGCCTCGGGATACTAAGAAAGGCAAAACTACAAAAAACATTCCCTGCCCTTAAGGGGCTCACAATCTAATGGACTCAGCCTTGCTGCCCCCTCAACTAAATTCCTTTAGTTAGTTTTATTAGACTCAAAGTATTTTATGTCCTTTTCTTCAGGTACCAAAATTATGTAAATCCTGCCTCTTGAGTCAGAGGTCTAGTGGGGTCAACAGCAGGCTTTAGAGTGGACCAGGAGCCAGAGGTTAAGACCCAGTCTGGGCCCAGGGTCAGGGAATTAGAGTTTAGACTGAAATAGATAGGATTCATTCCAAGTCAGATCAATAAGCACTTATTATACACCATCTGTGGGAGAGAAGGGAAGACGCATTTAGTAAGCACCTACTATGTGCCAGGCAGCACGATGGCCCAGTGGATGGCATGCCAGGCCTGGAGTCAGGAAGACTCATCTTCCTGAATTCAAGTCCTGCCTCAGATACTTACCAGCTGTGTTAGCCTGGAAAAGTCATTTAACCATATTTGTCTCAGTTTCCTCATCTGTAAAATGGGCTGGAGAAGGAAATGGCAAAACACTCCAATATCTTTGCCAAGAAGATCTCGAATGGGGTCAAGAAGAGTCAGACATGACTGAACAACAACAAATGTGCCAGGCATTGTGCCAATCACTTTGTAAATATTTCATTTGAGCTTCTTAACTCATTCCTCAAGCTTCATAACCTGGTAGGTAGATACTGTTTTGTTTTTTTTTTTTTTGGCGAGGCAGTGGGGTGAAGTGATTTGCCCAGGGTCACACAGCTAGTAAGTGTTATGTGTCTGAAGCTGGATTTGAACTCAGGTCCTCCTGACTCCAAGGCCAGAGCTCTATCTACTTTACTATTATTATCTTCTATTTTGTGAGGGGGAAAACAGGCCAATAGAAATTAAGTGACTTGCGCAGGGTCACACAGCTAGTAAGTATCTGAGGTCAGATTTTAACTTGGGTCTTCTTATCATCAGGTCCAGCCATCTGTTCACTGCATCCCCAAGCTACCAGAGTGCCAGGCACTCTGCTAAGCCCTGGGGCTATGAAGAAAGGCAAAAACCAAAACCAAAAATAATCCCTTCCCTCAAGGAGCTAGCAGTCTAACAGGAGAGACAATGTGCCAACAACTTTGTACAAACAAGATGTATAAAAGGTAGATTGAATATAATCTCGGAGGGAAAGCACTAACATGGAGGGAAGCTGGGAAAAGTCTTGCAGAAGGTGAGGATTTATCTAAGACCTGAAGGAAACCAGGAGGCAGAAGTGAGGAGAGAGATGGTCCCAGCCTTGAGGAAGTTAGTGAAAATGCTGGGTCAGGAGGTGGATTGATTGTCAGGTATGAGGAAGAGCAAGGTTGGAGGCATCACTGGATCACAGAGTTCGTGGTGGGTATAAAGAGACTGAAAGGAAGGGAGGGGGCAAGTCAAAAAAAGCCTTAAAAGACAAAACAGATTTTATGTTGGCTCCTGGAGGTGGTAGAGAGCTGCTGGAGTGGATAGAATGAGGGGGTGATATGATCAGACTTGTATTTTAGGAAGATTGACACCTGAGTAGAAGATAGATTGATGTGGTGAGAGACTTGAAGTGAGGAGTTAACCTAGCAGGCATGGACAATAGCCCAGGTGGGAGGTGATGAGGGCTGTGTCAGAGGAAAGAAGGGAGTGTTTGTGTAAGATGTTCCCAAAGTAGAGACAAGCGGACTAGGAGACTGATTGGCTATATGGGGACAAGAGAGAGTTGGGTCAAGGATGGCACTGAACCTGAAGGGTGGGGAGGATTCTGGTTCCCTCCCTGGTCCTCACCAGGAAGTCAGGAAGGAGGTGGGAGAAAAAGATGAGATCCAGAGCTGGGGTCAGGGCTCAGTCTGAGAAGGGCCAGGTCAAGGTTGAGTGTGAGATCAAGGTTCTGCCTGGTGTCAGGGCACAATTTGGAGCTGGAGCCCCAAGTATGGGATCAGGGCTCAGTCAGAGAGGCCAGAGTGGAGGCTTAGACTGGGGTCAGAGGCTGGGCTCAGTCTGGTCCCCTATTCAAGCAGGCTGGGTCAGGATTCAGTGTGGTGCATTCTGGGCCTGCTGTCAACCAGAAGTGGGGCAAAGGTTGATTGTCCTGTTCTTTACCCCAAAGGCTTCTTTACCCACCGGAGTATCAACTGGTTTCACACTAATTACCAAGGATAATTAGCTAAAATAGGAAACAGCTTCTTCCCCATCCCACCCCCTCACTGCACCTCACCCTCAGTGAGCTTCTCACTGCCCTGGCCCTGCCTCCCTCTCTTACCCCACAGACGCCCTGGTGTCAGCTTTGGTGTTCCAGACTAGTGTCCTAGGGTCTTCTCCCTCTTTGGGACCTCATTTCCCAACCTGTTTCCTACCACCCCACCCATCCCTCCCCTCTCCCGTCTGAATTTGCTGCCAGTTAATTTTTGGATGTGTTTTGTATACCTCGTCACAGGTGCCCAAGTGATGGGCTCTGGCTATGGATTCAGAGTTCCCCCTGGGGTCAAGGTTGAACACCAGTCTAGGGCTCAGGTCAGGTCTCATGATAAGATCAAGTCCAAGGCTCATTCTGGGCCCCAAGTTGCCGGTCAAGGCCCCAAGTAGGGCTGAGGTGAAAGAGAGGTATAACTAAGGGGGGGAGGGTTGGGCCTTTGCCAAAGGGTCACCCTATTAAGAAAGTACTGAAAGCAATTGGACTTCTTCAGTATCAGAGAAAGCAGAGTTTACTACCTGATTAGCAAGGATAATTAGTGAAAGTAGTGAGCAGTTTCTAACCCCACCCCCACTCCCTGGCATTCTCCCCAGCCTGGCTTCTCACTCCAGAGCTCTCTTGCTGGTGGCTTTCCAGTACCTGTGGATCTTCAGGGCTGGTGTCCTGCAGCCTCTTCTTCCACTCTGGCCCTGTGTTTCAAGCTGTCTCTATCTTTCGAACCAAATGAATTTAAGAGGTTGGTTTTTTGACACATTTCATGCTTATCCAAGCAGGTGTTTTTTCTTTCCCTGTTTGCTACACATGACAGAATGGTGAGTTCTGGCTCTGGGCTTAGGGTTGAGTCTGGGATCATAATCCAGGGTTAGTGTCAGGCCTCTGCCTGGGACAGTGCTCCATTTCCCAGAAGGTCAGAGATCATTCTGAGGTCAAATACAAGGATGTCTAGTGGGTCGGTTCAGGCCTTTGTCTTGGGCTGGGGACAGGGCTCAGGCTGGGCTTGGGTTTTAAATCACATGCTCATGACTGAGTCTGGAGCCCAGGTCAAGGCTCAGTCTAGGCCTGAGGTCAAACAGCTCAGTTTGGGGTAATATGGGGCTAATTTCAAAGCAGGGTTCAGGGGTCTGTCTGAGACCAGAGTCAAGGGTCACTCAGGGTCCTGGTCTTAGGCTAGGGTTAGAGCCTAGCATTTTGCCAAGGTTCAGGATTATAGATGGCAAGGTGGGCTCAGTAGTGATAGGGAGTCTAGGTTTAGGGCTCAGTCCATGGCTAGAGTCTGACCTCAGTTTGGACCTTAGGGCTTATTGTGGGAACAGACAAGACTCCTTGTGGAGCTAGGATTTACTGAGTCTCCAGAGCTCATGACATTATAAAATGAGACTTGGAGTGAGGAGAGGTCTGGGTTCAAATCCTGTTACTAGTATGTGAGCAACCATGACCATGTTGTCCTCTCCAGTCCAGGGCTGTGGTTAAAGTTTAGTGTAATGCTACAGTAGAGTTTAGGTTTGGAGAAAGAGCCAGGGTTCATATCTGAGCTGGAGTCAATTCCAAGACTGGGACCAGGGTCAAAAATTAGCCTGTAGTCAGGGCCCATTTTTCGGAAAGTTGAGGCTAAATGCAGGGCATGTGTTAGGGCTCAGTCTGAAGCCCAGTCAAGCTAAGCCTAGAGTCCCAGGGTTTAAGACTGAGGAACCACCACTCCAGGCTCAGGGACTCTTAGACTCCACTTCATGCCCATCAATTAGGGAATGGCTGGACAAGTTACGGCACATGAGTCTGATGGAATACTGCTGTATGGTAAGAATGGTGAAGGGGATGGCTTGGGAAAAACCTGGGAAGACTTGTATGAACTGATATAGAGGGAAATGAGCAGAACCAGGAGAATAGTTTATACAAGGACAACAGCATTAGAAAGAAAAATAACTTTGAAAGACTTAAAAACTCAGATCAACACAGTGGCCAACTGTGATTCCAGTGGACGAATGATGAAGAGTGTCACCTACTCCCAGACAGAGAGATGATGAACGAATATGCAGAATGAGACACATTTTTTGACATATTTAATGTGGTAATTTATTTTGACTATGTGTTATTTCTTACAAGGGTTTTTTTTCCTTTTTTTCTTTTTTTTCAGGGGTGAGAGAAGTAAGAAAAAAATTACCTGACATTTGTCGTGGAGGGGCGGGGGAGAGAAAAAGCCCAGTCTGTTGCCAAAGTCAGATTTCCATTCAGAGTTGAAGTTAGGTTCAATCCAGAGCCGGGGTCAGGTTTAATCTGGGAAATCAGGGTCAGGGGTCAGTTCAGAGCTGGGAGCCAGGCTCAGTCTGGAGATGGTGTTAGGCAAAATTGTAACTAGGAGGGGATGACTGGGGCTTGTTCCAAGGCACTGACTTTGAGAAGGTGCTGGAGGGCCATAGACTCCTTCAGCATCATAGTAACAATTAAGTTTAGTGCCTATTTCATAAAAAAATAAATTCGTTAAAACAGAAAAGCAGCCTCCTCCCACTCCTGTAGCTAGCTTTCTGCCACACCACAGGTGAAGTCCTCCCTGGCCTCTCCATCATTCCCAACTGCAGCCTGGAAGTCACCTCAAATCTGCAAAACTGGTCAAGACTGGTGCCAGGGTAGAGAGCCTCCACATGGCCTGATGTCCCACTGTCTCTCAGCTCTTCTGCTCCTACTCCCACCAATTTATTGTAGGGTGTTAATTTGGAGAAACATGTCATGTTGTTTGCCTTGAGCACACGTTGTGCTCGTGATCAGTAAGGGTTCTGAAGTTCTGGCTCTAGAATTGGAGCCAAGTCTAAGGCCAGTGCTTGGGTTTAGCCTGGAGCAGAAGCCAGGGCTGTGATCAAGGCACAGTCTGGGGTTATATAGTCAGAGCTCAGTCTCCATTCAGGTTCAGGGTTCAATTCTAGGTGTGGTGGGGGAGGGAGGCAGTCAGAACTGAATATGGATCCAGTCTGAACCCTGGGTCACATTTGAATCCGAGGCTGGAGTCAGGGCCAAGGCTCAGTCTGAAGCCAAGATCAGACTGAGTCTGGTGTCAGAGTCAGGGCTCAAGTCCAAGGATCAGCCTGAGAAGAAAGTCAAGGATTTGGGTTGGGTTAAGACTAGGCTCAGGGCTCAGGGCCCAGGGCCCAGGGCTGGAAATAAGGCTCAGATTGGGTGCCTACAGTTAGAAGACAGTTAAGGCTCAGTCTCAGGCCAGGATCAGGGATTGGTCCAAGGCTGAGGCCAGGATCCAGGCTGAGGTCAGAGATCAGGGCTGAGTGTGGGGGCCAAGGTCAGAGACTAGGACTGAGTGGAGGCCAAGGTCAGAGATCAGAGCTGAGTGTGGGGGCCAAGGTCAGAGGCTAGGACTGAGTGGAGGCCAAGGTCAGAGGTCAGAGCCTAGTATGGAGCCAAGGTCAGAAGTCAGGGTTCAGTGGGGGGCCAAGGTTAAGGCTCAGTCTAAAGCAAGTTCATTCCAAAGCTGAAGGAGTGTGGTTCAATTTGGGGCCAGAGACAAGGGTGAGTATAGACCTAGACCAGGGCTCAAAGCCTTTGTGGATCCGGAGCCAGGGCTCAGTCAGAGGTTCTGGAGTCTGATGGTGACAGGGCTTGTTCCATGTCTGAGGTCAGGGTTCTGTCTGTGGCTGGAATCCGGCTCTTTTCAGTCTTCAGGTCCATCCATCAGAGGGACATCTGGGGTCAGGGTTCCACCAGACCTTAGAGAGTCACAGAAGGTCAGGCACTCAGTCTGGGGCTGAGGTCAAACAAAGCTGTGATTAGGAGGAGCTCTCTGGGGCTTTGCTTAGCAAAACAGTAACAACTGAGCTTAATACCTCCTTAGGAAGAACAATTAGTTAACATAGGAAGCAGCTTTCTTCTCCCTGCTTCACTGCATCATTTATGGCCCCATTTCCTGGCCCAGCCCCACCTTTATTCCCCCCACCCCCCACCTCTAGCCTCCCTTACATAATGGCCCAGGGTCTTCAAGGCTGGTGATTTAAAGTCTCCTCTCTTCCACAGGGCCTTTGTGGAACTGTGGAGAGATTCAAGCTTTCTCAATCCCTCTTCCCTCAATTTGTTTTCAGATGATTTCTGGACCAATTAAAGCACATTTTGCACCCTCCCTTCCTAAAGGCACCCAAATTCAACCAAATGTTGAGTTCATACTCTGGAGTTAGGGTACGGTCTGGAACAGGGGGGTAAGATTTACCCCAGAGTCAGAATCCTGCTTTGGTCCCCAGTGTGGGTCAAGCCTGGCTATGGCTAGCTCAAGGCTCAGTCTGGAATCAAGGTTGGGACTCAATCTGGGCTTAAGCTCAGAGTTCAGTCTGCTGTCAGTGTGAAGGACAGTCTTGGGCTGAGATCAGAGTTTTGTGTGGTGCTGATGTGAGTGCTAAGGCAGGAATCAGGGCTGAATTAGGGGCAGAGGTCAAGGATCAGTCTGGGGCCAAGTTCAAGACTAGGTCTGAGAGTAAAGGCTCATTCTAGGGATGGGGTCAGGGACCAGTCCTGGGGTCAGGTTTTAATGGAGCCTCGGGGTCTGGTTTTAGTCTGGGCACCAGATTTAAGGATCAGTATGAGATCAGAGGTCAGTTTGGAACAGGTCAGGTTAATTTCAGGGTTCCTGTCAGAATTCAGTTTGGAGATGAGGTTAGAGCTCAAGATGGAATAAAGATTCAATATGGAGCCAGGGCCAAGGTTCAATCCAGAATGGGAATCAAGGCTCAGGTCAGAGTCAAGGTCAGGGTCAAGGTTAGTTTTGATACCTGGGTTCAGGTTCCATATGTATCTGCTTTGAAAATTTAGTATAGGCTTGGCATGGGAGTGCACTGTGGGCTAAGGTCAACACTGGGGGTGGGGTCAAGGTCAGGGTTGGCCTTCAAGAATGAGGGCTCAGAATATAGCAAGCGAAAGGACTAGGGGTTGGAGTCAAGGCTCATCCTGGCACAAGGTTCAGGACTCAGTCTAAGGCCAAGGCTCAGTTTGGGGTGAGGCTCTGGGCTCAGTCCAGGGCCTGTATCTAGTGAATTTTATTCCTCAGTTCAGGGCTCAGCCTGTACCTGAGCGTCGAGGGGTTGTCTGAGTCTGGGGTAGGGGCTCAGATTGGGTCTGAGGTGGAGGCTTAATGCGTGCCTGCCTTGGGGATCAGTCTGGGGTGAGGGGTAGGTCTAGGTCCAGAGTCAGCACTAAGGGGTGAGTTTTGTGACCAGAGTCAAAGGAGATTAATCTGGGAGTCTTGTCGTGGCCTCAGGAGTCTCTATAGATCCTCCTGTGGTCAGGACACCAGGCTTCCGGGGTCCGGGCCCCTAACGTCACAAAGGACCCCCCTCTGCCCAGCCCCAATCAGCACCTGGGCTAAGGTGTTCCATCACGTGGTTCCAGACCTTCCTAGCTGGGACTCGGAGCTGGGGGGAAGGAGGGCACAGAGGGTGACACTGAGCGCCTTTCAGTCTCGGGATTCGCTAGCTCCTCCGGTGACGTCACAAAGAGCTCGGTCCCGGCCCCGCCTCACCTGGTTACATAACCTTGCCACTGCCGGATGGCCTCTGTCCCAGTAGTTACAATAGGGGGACCGATAGGGAAGGGACCAAGAGACCGGAAATGGAGCAGGGCTGACCCCACCTCCGTCCTTTACCCCAGGAGCCCCCTCACATTCTCTCCAGCCCCTCCGTTTTATCCCCCTCAGTTATTTCCAAAACTCTTCCTCCTCAATCCCCTACCCTCATTTTCTCCGATGTCGTCCAGGCCACGCCAACCGCATCTCTAATGTTGTTCTGCTTTTAAGTCTCTCCGCGTCTCTTTAGGTGCGGATAGCCCCCGTGGGTGTCTGACTCTAGCCCACTGTGTCCATCTCTCCTCTCTGACTTTGTCTCTCTGGCTGTCTTTCTCCAGCTCCCAGCTTCTGTCTCTATGTTTATCTTTGTCTCTCTCTCTCATCTCTTCTAGCCCTTGGTGTCTCTGGGTGTCTCGGGACTGTCTCTGCGGGTGAACTCAGCTCCGTCTGTGTGTCAGTGTGCCTCCCTCCAGTTCTGGCTCTAAGCTGTTCCCAGGCTGTTCCCGGGCCCCTCCTCCTTCCCTCCTGCTGCCGTGGCCCAGAGACCCAGTTCGCAGCCGCTGCGGTGGCTGTGGCTAAATATTTGTCTCCTAGCAACTTGCAACCGCTGCCGCCGGGCTGGGCTAGCCAAGGCTGGGGCTGCCCCAAGGAGGCCGAATGGGCCGGGCCAGGACTAGGACCTGGACATGCCGTGCTGGGCGGAACTGAGGGAAGCAGAAGGGGGGAACCGGAGCGAAGGAGACTTCCTCCAGAGACATACACAGTGAGAGAGAGAGAGAAAAACACTGAGAGATAAACAGAGACACAGGCTTCCAGAACAAGAGAGATACTCAGAAAAACAGATAAACAGAGAAATGGAACAGGGGATGACAGGAACACAGGACCACTCAGACACTGCAAAACCAGAGCTTTAGCAGAAAGCTTGCCAGGCTTAAAGACAGGAGAGGAGAGGCCTGGGCACCCACTCTGTTCCAAATGTGTGACCCACAGGCACTTCCTGCAGCCTCTCTGGGACTATTTCCTTTAAAATGGGCACCATACCAGCAATACCAGCTTTCCCTGCTGATGTGAGGATGAGATGAAATAATGCAGGGGAGGTGCTTAAAGGAAGGGCTAGATGAATGGCAGCTAGGTCAGCTCTAAGGTCCCTTTCACAGAACATCATAGAATAGAGTGTCTGAGCCAAGAGAGCAGCCTTAGAACAGAGAAATTCAGAACTGGGAGGACCCTTAGAACAGGGAATGCCAGAGCTGGGAGAGCCCTTAGAACATGAAGTGTCAGAGCTAGGGGGGACCTTAGAACAGAGAATGTCAGAGCTGAGAGAGACATTAGAACAGAGAATGTCAGAGCTGGGAGGGATCTTAGCACAGAGAATGTCAGAGCTGGGAAGAACCTTAGAACAGGGAATGTCAGAGCTGGGAGGGACCTTAAAACAGAGAGTATCAGAACTGAGAGGGGCCATAGAAAAAAAGAAATTCATACCTAGAACCTCATAGACAGTGAGGTCTGTGAAGAACCTGGAAGCACAGAATACAGACTATTAGAGCTAGATAAATGTTTGCTCAGGGTTGTCTAAGCCAATGATTTTACAGAAAGGGAAACTGAGGCCCAGAACCCAGTCCACAGAGCTCTGCAGATGCAGGCTCACAGGTGCACGGCAGTCCAGACATAGCTCTCCCTGGTAGCAACACACCCAAACACTATGGGACACAGAGACACTGCAGGCAGGAACTTGCATTCCCCAACACACCCACTTACAGTCTCAGGCATGTATTAGAGGGTGTGAGATGGAACACACCCACAAGCTTCACCCCCTCCCCACACTGTTGTTTGGAGTTTGTTATTATACATGTTTTAAGATCACAGTGGGCTGCTGGAAGAGAGAGAGAGAGAGGAGAGAGAGAGAGAGAGAGAGAGAGAGACAGAAGAGAGAGAGAGAGAGAGAGAGAGAGAGAGAGAGACAGAGAGACAGAGAGACAGAGAGACAGAGAGAGGAGAGCCCAGTAAAGACAGAGTACAATACAAAATATCAGAGCTGGAAGGAGGCTTGGGAGGGATTTAGCATAAACCTGACCCTGTAATTTTATGGAGGAGGAAACTGAGGCCTGGGGAGGGGGAAGAGCCTTGTCCCAAGGCCACACCAGATGTTAGTGGAGTTGTAAGATATAAGTCAGGGAGGAGGGGAGGAGGGTTTCAAATTCTGGGCCAATTCTAGGCAGGAAGATGTTCACACACACCCCTTCTCATCCCTCCGAGCCCCTCCCCAGCCTCATACAAATGTCCCTTCCCCCTCAAATCTACACTGACACATATTTGAAGTCACACAACAGCCCAGTGCTATTGCTCACACTCCCAGATGGAGGACAACACACACACACACACACACACACACTACACACACACAGAGATTACTCCCTCCCCCCAATGTTTCTAGTTTCCTGCCCCTAAGAAACCCTTCCCACTGTCAGACATCAGATATGGGATGCAGGGACATACACATGCTCGCACTCCAACACCCCCTCCTATGTACACGCACTCAGAGAGACATGACCTCTGAATGATATTTCTGTCTATCATCTTTCTTTTTCTCTCTCCCTATCAAATTATGCAGAATGTCAGATCTGAGAGGGACCAGAGAGAGACCTTGTTTGTTCACTGTTCTCCCCATTTTACAGAGGGGCAAAACTAAGAAGCATAGAGATGAAGAGATCCCAAGGTGATAATGGTGGAGCTGGGACTGGAATGGAAGCAAATCCACACCCCCCAGCATCCCTGTCAATCAATTGCTCTGCCACTCCAATCACTGGACATGTCACATCCCTCACCATAGCCCATCTCCCTTATCTGGCTTCCCATATTGGAATGGAAACATCTTGAGGACAGGGACTATCTTAAATTTGAGATTTGTAATTCCAGTACTAGCACAATGGCTGGCACATAGTAGGTGCTTAATAGACATGTTTTTATTCATTCTTTTAATTGTCAGTCCAGGGTTCTGCAAACCATCCCCTAGAGAACATTGTTCACTGAATTAACATTAAATAAAATATATAAGGGGCAGCTAGATGGCCCTGGAGTCAGCAGGACCTAAGTTCAAATCCAGACTCAGATACTTATTATCTATGTGACTCTAAGCAAGTCACTTAACCCCAATTGCTTCCTCCCCCCCAAAAAATAAATCATCATTGTATATTATTTGAAAACTTTATAGCACTATACAGGCTGTTCTAAAAGTCTCAGTGAAGTTTTAAACTTTACTAGCTTAAAGCTCTTTGGACACCTTGTATAAGGGTAAGGCAGGATGTGGTGTAGTGGACAGAGAGCAGGGTTCAAATCCCACCTCTGACAATTCCTGGCTATGACCATGGGCAACTCATTCAACCTCTGGGTGTCTCAGACAGCTAAAACTAAGCTTAAGATGCAGTTACTAACAAATTACCAGGGGATTTCCACACCAGGAGTTCCATGGGTCAATTAAATTACAGGTCAGCATTTAGCACAGTGCCTGGCACATAATAGGCAGTTTATAAGCATTTGCTTATTCTCCCCCCCCCAATATTAATGATGTTCATACACATGGTCCCATTCTGTTGAAGATGAACCAGAGCATTCCTCATTTGGTAACAACAACTTGCATTTACATAGTCCTCTAAGGCTTGCAAATTCTCACAATCACCCAAAGAGGTAGGTGCTGTTATTAGCCCCATTTTACAGATGAGGAAACTGAAGCTCAGAAAGGTGACAAGACTTGGTGGGGGTGGGATTCCAACCTCCTGATCAAGGTCCTTCACTTCCTCATAGACAACTGGGGGAATCATAATAACACACACACCTCTGAGGAGGAAATGAGATAATGCACCGGAAAGCACTTTGTAGACTTGAAAGTGATATGAAAATGTCAGCTACTACTCCTCTCCTTTCTCACTCTCAATCCAGGCCCCTAGCCAACAGCTAGAGTACCTCTTAGTATACATAACCACTGTTGAACTACAGACTATTTTAGATTTCTTTCTTATTATATGCACTATTGTATATATTTCTGTGTATATATAATATATATAGCTACACCCACTATATGCTATATTACAGTACAGAAAGGTAGCATATATACCACATTGAACAGAAAATGTTTAAGTAAAATTACTTTATAGATGCATGCATTATTTTATATGCATGTATGCGTATATATATGCACATCTATTGTCCAATTAAAATACAAGGTGTTCCTAAAGTCCTAGGGAAGTTTCCAAGTATTAAAACCTGGCAGCAGCAGGAGGTCTTTCTGTTACGTGTATCCTGAATTAGCCGAACTGTACAACAGGAATATGCAGAACACAACTTGGTCGCATGCGTTTAACACTCATTACAAGGCAAACCACTTAATCATCGCCTACTCCCTACGAGGAGATGTAAAGAGTTACTCTGGCAAATGACGGGAAACAGCATATAGGTGACGCATAGCCCACAAAAAGCCTTGGAGCCTGATCTAGCCGGTATACCTCCACTAAAGTCTCTGATGCCTCATCCCTCCTGGTGCCTGGGAGGTGACCCTGGCTTTTTCTGAGGTGACACCTAGTGGAAGTCCTAACGAACGAGGAACCAGCCAAGTTCTTAGAGACTCATCACCAGGATGGCCGGCAGGTGATGAATGTTTCCGCCCACGACCACTCTTGGAGACCATCTGGCTAAATTGTCGAGGGGCTGCAATCTGAGTCAGTGGAGAGATTGCCCACACCGATGACATCGTAGATCCTTGATGTAAGGAGGCATAGTGTGGGCACATGATGATGCGGTCGAGTAGCGCAGAGCTGCCGGCAGAAACCCCTGCAATCTAGGATGCTTCCTTCCTGGAAGGCAATGCCCACAGTGCCCAGTGCAAAGGCCGGTTACAGACCGTGTCACCCGTTCTGTAACCTGCGCTACGCATCTGGTTATGCCTTCAGCCCAGCATCCTCTGCAGGGCTCGCTGGCTTCCACACATCTACGGGGGAGAATAATTGAGGCCCACGGTCCAAAGGACTGGCCCTGCAGCCACCACAGCTCCTGGCTCCGCGCCGGTCCCCAAGTCTGGGGCTCTGAGAGCGCAGGGCTGGGGGCAGGAGGAGGGAAGCGAAGAGGGCGCGAGGCGCCTGCGCGTGCAGCGCAGGCACGCGGGGTCCCGGCGTTGCCCCAGGCAGCGCCGCGCGCCCGTTGCCAGGTAACGTCAACAAAGCAACCCTCTAGCCGGGTCCGCGCGCTCCTCCCTCCTCCCGCCGTCCCCCGGACGCGGTGACGCGCCGTCGCCTGGGCAACGCAGAAGTTGTTTGTTCGGAGCCTCACGTGATCGCGCGAGTCCGGGCCGCGGCCTGGCGGGGAGGCCGCAGTGACCCCCCAGCCCCAGTGGGGCCCCGGGCCCAGCCCCCAGGTTACAACCCATCCCTCTTCTCCCAGGGCTCCCCTGTCCCCTGAGAGGCCCTCTCAGGACCCCCGACAGAGACCGTCCCCTGGAGTCACCCACAGTCACACACAGTCTCTCTCTCTCTCTCTCTCTCTCTCTCTCTCTCTCTCTCTCACACACACACACACACACACACACACACTCAGAGTTACATGGTCACAGCTAAGCACACCAACTGCGCACCCTCCCAGGGACACACACACATACACACGCGCGCGCGAGCGCGCGCATACACACGCGCACATCACCACCACCACCACCACCAGACACGCACCAACGCTCACACTCACGTCCCAGACTTTCCTTGTCACACACGCAAATTCACAGATTCCCGGTCACACACACACACATACACACCAGCCCAGATGAACAGTCCCACACAAAGACACCAATAGGAACGAGATCCCATACGTGCACCATCCCATCCCCAAGCAAAGCCATGGCTCCCTTCCCAGCCCAGAGCAATCCCTGGGGGAGTGGGAGGGGGCGCAGGAGGGGAAGGGGAGGTTGAGACAGACCCTGCTCCAGCCGCGGCCCCTCCGTCCAGTCCCTCCTTCCTTTCTTCATTCTTCTCTCGGCTGCCAGCCTGGGCTGCAGCAAATGCAACTTCGCGAGCTCCCCCACCCTCACTGCCACATGTGACCGGGGCCCGAGCCAATCTCCCTTCGCTGAGAGAGAGACAGAGACAAAGATAGAGACAGACAGACAGAGACAAAAACAGGCAGCCAGAGATAGAGACACAAACAGACAGAAAGACACAGAGACAGAGAGACACAAAGAGACAGAGATAGACAAACAGAA